CCAACCTCTCCAGTTGAGACAGCTTCTGCAATCGACCTGCAGACACAGAGAGACACGCGGAGAGACACGCGGAGAGACACGCGGAGAGACACGCGGAGAGACACGTGGAGACACAGGGGAGTTGGGAGACGAAACGATACAGAGACACAGAGAGACACGGACTCACACAGAGAGACACGCGGAGAGACACGCGGAGACACGGGGGAGTCGGGAGATGGGACAATAAGGACACAGAGAGACACGGACTCACACAGAGAGACACGCGGAGAGACACGCGGAGAGACGGGGAGTTGGGAGACGAAACGATACGGAGACACAGAAAGACACGGAGAAACACACAGAGAGACGCGCGGAGACACGGGGGAGTCGGGAGACGGGACAATAGGGAGACAGAGAGACACGGACTCACGCGGAGAGACACGCGGAGAGACACACGAAGAGACACGCTGAGAGACACGCGGAGAGACACGCGGAGAGACACGCGGAGAGACACGCGGAGAGACGCGCGGAAAGACACGCGGAGACACGTGGGAGTCGGGAGACGAAACGATACGGAGACACAGAGAGACACGGACTCACGCGGAGAGACACGCGGAGAGACACGCGGAGACACGGAGGAGTTTGGAGACGGGACAATAGGGAGACACAGAGAGACACGGACTCACACGGAGAGACACGCGGAGGGACACGTGGAGACACGGGAGATTTGGGAGACGAAACGATACGGAGACACATAGAGACATGGACTCACGCAGAGAGACACGAGGGAGTTGGGAGATACGGAGATACAGAGAGACACGGACACACGCGGAGAGACACGCGGAGAGACGCGTGGAGAGACACGTGGAGACACGGGGGATTTGGGAGACGAAACGATACGGAGACACATAGAGACATGGACTCACGCAGAGAGACACGGGGGAGTTGGGAGATACGGAGACACAGAGAGACACACGGAGAGACACACAGAGAGACACGTGTAGTAGTGTGTAGTAGTGAGTGTGTAGTAAACACGCACACACGTGCTAGTTTAAACTCCGACTGCCATCCTACCCGCCAACCGTGCACCACGATCACGCGCGCGGACACCGCGCGGCACGCACAACGGAGCCCCTTTGTCACTCCACTGCTGGATGAGAAGCTTACGCTTAGTTCTTTCGGTAGAGTCACCATGTAGGTAAAAATGAAATTAAAATTAATAAAAATAAAAAATTAAATCACGACGTTTCGGAGGCAACACAAGTCTCCGTCATCAGGTGGGACCGTCACAGCCAGATTTGCTGCATCAAGTGAGGGAGGGATTAAAGATGCAAGCTCTTAAGTACCATGATAATTGTTTTTTACCCTTCTATCTGGCAACAAAACTGACACCTTTTTACAAGGAGTCATGTTTGCATTGACCGCAATACCTGCAGTCATAATGCAAACAAAAGACACAACTCTGATAATGTATGTGCACTGTCCTTGAAGTTGATTGTTCCACACCCGAGACAGCTTTCCTTAGAGCCTAGTCTCACATGGTGTTGGACCAGATGACGCCAAAAGGCGCACAACTCAAAGACAATGCATCATCAGAGTATGAGAGCTCGGGGTAAGCATTTACACCATTGGAACCTCATTTGCCAGTAAAAAAATATGATAATTGGTTTTTTACCCTTCTATCTGGCAACAAAACTGACACCTTTTTACAAGAAGTCATGTTTGCATAGACCGCAATACCTGCAGTCATAATACAAACAAAAGAACATAACTCTGATAATGTATGCACTGTCCTTGAAGTTGATTGGTCCACACCCGAGACAGCTTTCCTTAGAGCCTAGTCTCTTGCATCTTGAATCCCTGCCTCACTTGATGCAGCAAATTCAGCTGTGACGGTCCCACCTGATGACGGAAGCTTGTGTTGCCTCCGAAACGTCGTGATTTATTATTTTATTTTTATTAATTTTAATTTCATTTTGTTTTACCTACGTGACTTTACCGAAAGAGCTAAGAGTATGAATCCTTGCAGTCACGAAAGCTTCAAATCTGGATGAGAATCTCTCTGAGCGGTGGCGCAGCGGTGAGCGCAGCGCTACGAACCCGGCGACCCGAGTTCGATTCCCGCTCGCGGCTATACCAACACCACCGGTGACGGTTATCTGAACCGTTCCCGGGCCTCGCCTAGGTCGACTCAGCCTTAAATGAGTTTTTCGTTGAGGTGTGCAAAAACATCGCCACACAAGCACTTGCCCCAGGAATCCCCAAAGGCTGTCAGGGGCATCTTTGTCTTGTTTGTGTGTTCCTTAGTTTGTCTGTGCATGTGTGTGTGCGTGTCTATGTAGTGAAGGCGTGTGTATGTCTGTCTGTGTGTCAGCGTGACGGCGTGTCTTACTTGGGTAGCGTCTTAAGGTGATTTTCCCTTAGCTCCAAGATCTGTAATTTGGCCAGCCTGCACACACACAGATACATACACCGGTAAAAACACACACACACACACACGTACGTACACCGGTAAATAAACACGCACATACACAAGTAAACACACACACAGATACATACACCAGTAAATGTACACACACACACGTACACCAGTAAACACACACGCACGTACACCAGTGAACACACACACAGATACATACACCAGTAAATATACACACACACACGTACACCAGTAAACACACACGCACGTGCACCAGTGAACACACACACAAATACATACACCAGTAAATGTACACACACACACGTACACCAGTAAACACACACGCACGTACACCAGTGAACACACACACAATACATACACCAGTAAATGTACACACACACACGTACACCAGTAAACACACACGCACGTACACCAGTGAACACACACACAGATACATACACCAGTAAATGTACACACACACACGTACACCAGTAAACCACACGCACGTACACCAGTGAACACACACACAGATACATACACCAGTAAATGTACACACACACACGTACACCAGTAAACACACACACGTACACCAGTAAACACACACACGTACACCAGTAAAGATCCCCCGTATAGCCTGAACAGACTTGTGGGGCAAGTGCTGTCAGCGAGTAGTACCTATGAAGGACGGCACGACACAAGAGGGGGTGGGTGGCCAGCACCACGGCTGTGACCACCTTTGTCTCCCCAGTGGCGATGTTTACTACACACCGCACCAGGTACTCATTTGAGGCCGAATCGACCTAGGGGAGGCGCAGGACCGGTTCAGATAATCGTCACCGGTGGCGTTGGTGGCCGTGAGCGGGAATGGAACTCGGGTCGCCGGGTTCGTAGCGCAGCGTAGCGCTAGCCGCTGCACTGCCGCTCCACCCTAGTTTTTGTTTAGTTCATTTTGTTAGTTTCGTTAGTTCATTCGCGTTGTAGGTTTTGTTATTTTTATTAGATTCGTTTGTTTCGTGAGTTTCGCAAGTGTTGTTAGTTTTTTTGTTAGTTTCATGAGTTTCGTTAGTTGCGTTAATTGTGTTACTTTCGGTAGTTTCGTGAGTTTCGTTAGGTGTGTTAGTAGCGTTAGTTTCATTAGTTTCATTAGTTACGTTAGTTGCGTTACTTTCGGTAGTTTCGTGAGTTTCGTTAGATGCGTTAGTAGTGCGAGTATCGTTAGTTGCGTTAATTTCGTTAATTGTGTTAGTTTCATTCGTTTCATTCGTTTTATAAGTTTCGTTATTTTCGTCAGTTTCGTCAGTTTTGTAAGTTTTTTAGTTTCGCTAGTTTTGTTAGCGTCGTTCGTTTCGTCAGCTTCACTAGTTTTTTTAGTTTCGTTAGTTTCGTAAGTTTTGTTAGTTTTGTAAGTTTCAACCAAGCCCTCTGATTGGTGCAGGGAGGCCTCAAAGACGATTGGTCAGGATTAAAAAATCAAAAGGTTCAAATCTGGATGGTGATTTTAAAGTTGCGTAGCTCCGGTGGCTTCCTAACGTCGGAAGGAAGAGCGTTCCAGACGGCCGCAGAAGCGCATCCGAACGTGCCGCGCGATAATGCGGCGACCCCCGTATTTGTTCGATGGCTTAGCCAAAAACCGCTGCTGTTGCTGCGAGCATAATCGGAGTTGGCGTGATGACGTTTTCGTGCTCCTCGACGAGATCACCAATGCATTGTGGGTTCACTTGTGGCAAGCAATGTGCGTGTAGTTTACACGCGAGAAGAATCTCGCGTCTTCTTTGAACGCTGGGGAGCCGGACAAGCCCCTCTCTGTACCAGCGTGGACGGCACCTCGTGGTGTTCACCTTCTGAAGCGCTCACTCGTCACCGTGGCGTGCGCGATGACCACAGCCACCACCACAACCACCACCACCACAATCATCACCACCACCACCACCACAACCACCACAACCACCACCACCACTACAACCACCACCACAACCACTACCACCATCACTACAACCACCACCACAACCACCACCACGTGACTTTTCTTTCGTGTTGTGCGCGGGGCTTTTAGCGCCATGACAGCGCGTGGATTTGTAGCGTTTATTTTCATTTGTGTTGCTGGTGACTTTTTGTGTTTCGTATCGAAATCGCCTCCAGTGCTTTTGCTGCTGGCGGCAATAAAAGTTGTTTGGAAGTCAAAAGTCTGTCTGAACAATTACACGATCTCTCCTCCTGTCTCTCTCTCTTCTATCTCACGTCTCAATGTCTCTCTGTATGCTTAGACTCTCTCTCTCCCCCACTCTCCAACCACCCACCACTCCTGCTCTCTCTCTCTCTCTGGCTACATCTCTCTCTCTCTCTCTTTTTTACGATCAGTGGAAACAAGAAGATGCTCGGTGTAGTCGGCACTTTGCTTCGTTCATCATTTCGTAATTTTTTTTTATAACTTTGCTTTATGTAACTTCCCACCTCTCGCTCACTCTCTCGGTCACTCTCTCGCTCGCTCTCATCGCTCGCTCGCTCCTCTCGCTCACTCTCTCGCTCACTTCTCGCTCGCTCTCTCGCATCGCTCTCTCGCTCGCTCACTCGCTCGCTCTCTCGCTCGCTCACTCTCTTGCTCACTCTTTCGCTCACTCTCTCGCTCACTCTCTCGCTCACTTCTCGCTCACTCTCTCGCTCGCTCACTCTCTCGCTCTCTCTCTCGCTCACTCTCTCGCTCACTCTCTCGCTCACTCTTTCGCTCACTCTCTCGCTCACTCTCTCGCTCACTCTCTCGCTCACTCTTTCGCTCACTCTCTCGGTCACTCTTTCGCTCATTCTCTCGCTCACTCTCTCGCTCACTCTCTCGCTCACTCTCTCGCTCACTCTTTCGCTCACTCTCTCGCTCACTCTCTCGCTCACTCTCTCGCTCACTCTCTCTCTCACCCTCCGCTCTCCCCATCACGTCTCGTCAAGACCACGGTTTATTCTGGGAAAGAACAACGCGGCTCTCGGTTGCACGGTCTATATCGGGAAATGGTGATCGCTGGCGTGCGTGCCGAGTTCGATTCCCGCTCACGGCCAACACCGGTGACGATTGTTTCACAGGGATCTGGTCCTCACCCTAGGTCGACTCGGCCTCAATGCGTACCTGGTGCGGTGGTGTAGCAAACATCGCCACCGGGGGAGACAAAGGCGGTTACTAGCCACCCACTCCCCCATCTGCCGTGCAGGCCTTCATAGGTGCCACTCGCGAACAGCACTTGCCCCAGCAGCCTGTTAAGGCTGTACGGGAGACCTTTGTATTTCTGTTTAAGTGTGATCGGTAACCCGAGTTCGATTCCCGCTCACGGCCAACACCGGTGACTATTGTCCGACCCGGATCTGGGCCTCACCTACGTCGACTGGGCCTCAAATGAGTAGCTGGCATTTAGTAAACATCGCCACTGAGGGAGACAAAGGCGGTCAGGCGTGGTGCTGGCCACCCCCCCCCCCCCCCCGTGTGCCACAGTGCCGGCCTTCATAGGTTGCTCGATGCTCGCTAACAGCACTTGCCCCGACAGTCTGCGTAGGCTACACGGGGATGGGGGGATCTTTATCTTTGTTATGTGTGTGTGTGTGTGCGTGTGTGTGCGTGTGCAGTGCGTGTGTGTGTGCGCGTGTGCGTGTGTGCGTGTGTGTGTGTGCGCGTGTGTGCATGTGCGTGTGTGTGTGTGTGCATGTGCGTGGTGCTGGCCACCCACCCCCTCGTGTACCGTTCCGGCCTTCATAGGTGCTCGCTAACAGCACTTGCCCCTACAGTCTGTTCAGGCTATACGGGGGGTCTTTATCTTTGTGCGTGTGCGTGCGCGCGCGTGTGTGCGTGCGTGCGCGTGTGTGCGTGTGTGTGCGTGCGCGCGCGTGTGTGCGTGCGTGTGCGTGTTTACCTGCCAAAGTTGCCGGGCAGCGCTTCGAGGAAGGCATCATTCAGATAGAGCTGGGTCAGGTTTAGGAGCTGAGTGAACCCTTCTGGCAACCTGCACACAGAGACAGAGGTCCTCCGTAACACTTACCAGCAGGGGCGGTTTCTTCATTAGGGCGATTGGGCGACGCACCACCAATGTCATTCAACCACAGAGTCACGCTAGCCGTCACTGTGCCTCTGGATATAGTCCAATCAGCGTCATGCTACGTTCTGTGGAGTACCGCCTCTTTTTGGGCGATTTCACTCCGGCTGAGAATCGCTCCGATTTGCCCCATAGACTTACATTCAAAGATGTTTTTTTCGAACGGCGGGCGTTGCAATGCATTCTCTATGGCTTCCGGGAGGGCTCGCCCTAACGTGCTTACGTCATCATACGTGCTTACGTCATCATACGTAAGCACGTTTCATCCAACAATATAATTGTGGCCACCTAGTGGAATCTTTAATAAAATAAACTTGAGTGGATTGTATTAATAGTGAGTATAGAAACAAACAAGATGTATTGTAAGAGTCACTTTATTTTTCATCAATATTAAAGAAGTGAAGTTGCCTTTACATGCTTAAGCTGTCATTTTATCCATTGCATGGGTGGACCTTATCCTTATCAATCATCCAGACATTTGCCCCCCCTGAGAGATTTTGCAGGAGCCGCCACTGCTTACCACGTAGCAGGACTCTCACGGCCAACATCATCCATAATACAGGTTGTTTTGGGGGGGGGTTTAGATCACGTGATCATATAATTGTGCCGTTAAACCCGCCGCCACCCGACGCAGCCAATCAGCAATGGGTTTGTCACGTGAACAGGACGTGGTCAATTCGTGACGAGCACAGCGGCACACAGACCGTGTGTTCTTCTTGGTTCTTTCTGTAAAGTCACGTAGAAGGGAAGTAATAAAATAATAAAAAGAAAACATAATAAACATTGTATTATATTATTATTTTATTATGTTTTATTTATTATATTATTATATTATATTATTATGTTATATTTTTATTATTTAATTACTTCCCTTCTACGTGACTTTACCGAAAGAACCAAGAAGATGAATCCCTGCAGTCACGAAAGCTTTAAATCGAGATTGTGTGTTGGAGAGCGAAGCCGCAACATTTACAATCTGAGCACGACGTTTTCGCCGGCAATTGGCAACCGGCTTCATCAGGCGACAGCCAGATTAGTGGAGAAATCCTCCCGATTCCTTCCTTAGATAGAGGGGTAGATGTGTTGACGTCACTTGTGAGCACTTCCTGTGCGAAGTGGCGGTGGGGAGATTAACGAATGCATAGCAATGACTATGGGTATCCATTGCCGGTTGCGTTGTTTGTATGGCAATTAACAGACATTATGCATAGCACCACGCCCGCTCGACCGCCTTTGTCTCCCCCAGTGGCGATGTTTACTACACCGCACCAAGTACCCATTTGAAGCTGAGTCGACCTAGGGGAGGCACCAGGACCAGTTAAAATAATCGTGACTGGTGTTGGCCGTGAGCGGGAATCGAACTCGGGTGGCCGGGTTCTTAGTGCGGCGTAGCGCTAACCAGGGTGTATGTGTGCGCGTGTGCGCGTGCACGTGTGTGAGAGTGCGTGGATGCGCGTGTGTGCGACTGCGTGCGTATGTGAGTACACGTGTGTGTGCGAGCATGTGCGTGTGTGTGAGTGCATGCGTGTATTCGAGTGCACGTGTGTGCGCGCATGTGCTAGTGCGTGAGTGCGTGTGCTAGTGCATGCGCGTGTGTGCGTGTGTGTGTGTGCGTGTGGTAGTGTGTGTTTGTGCGTGTGTGTACGTGTGCGCGTGTACGCGTGTGTGCAAGTGCGTGTGTGCGAGTGCATGCACGTGAGCGTGTTCGAAGTCATGCGTGTGTGCGTGTGAGCGTGCGTGTGTGCCAGTGCATGTGTGTGCGCGTGTGTTAGTGCATGCATGCGTGTGTGCGTGTGCTAGTGTGCGTGTGCTAGTGTGAATGCGTGTGTGTGTGAGTGCGTGTGTGTGTGCGTGCGCATGTGTGCGTGCGTGTGTGTGTGAACTCACTTGCTAATGGGGTTCACGCTCGCTTCTAACACAGACAGGCACTTGCAACAGCGGATGTTCTCCGGGAATTCTTGAATGCCTGGGTGCGCAAAGACAAAGATCCCCGCCCCGATTATAGCCGCAGCAGGCTGCTGGGGCAAGTGCTGGTAGCGAACAGAACACCTTACGCCACATCTCATCGCAAACATTCGAAGGGCGCCCCCATCGGCAGCTGTCTCTGCGTGGCGACCCGGCACCTTGCTAACGAGCGGGCATCAGTCTGCCAGTCGGGGGGCTGCAGTTGTTACTATGCACAGTGGTTGGGTCGCCACGGTGGCGAGATGTTAACTACCTCGCCTGGTACACAGGAGGTCGTGGGTTCGATCCCAGACCCTACGAGATGTTAACTACCTCGCCTGGTACACAGGAGGTCGTGGGTTCGATCCCAGACCCTACGAGATGTAAACTACCTTGGCTGGTACGCAGGAGGTCGTGGGTTCGATCCCAGACCCTGTGAGATGTTAACTACCTCGCCTGGTGTACAGAAGGTCGTGGGTTCGATCCCAGACCCTGTGAGATGTTAACTACCTCGCCTGGTGTACAGGAGGGCGTGGGTTCGATCCCAGACCCTGTGAGATGTTAACTACCTCGCCTGGTACGCAGGAGATCGTAGATTCGATCCCAGACCCTGATGAGATGTTAACTGCCTCGCCTGGTACGCAGGAGGTCGTGGGTTCGATCCCAGACCCTACGAGATGTTAACTACCTCGCCTGGTACACAGGAGGTCGTGGGTTCGATCCCAGACCCTGTGAGATGTTAACTACCTCGCCTGGTACACAGGAGGTCGTGGGTTCGATCCCAGACCCTGTGAGATGTTAGCTACCTCGCCTGGTACACAGGAGGTCGTGGGTTCGATCCCAGACCCTGATGAGATGTTAACTACCTCGCCTGGTACGCAGGAGGTCGTGGATTCGATCCCAGACCCTACGAGATGTTAACTACCTCGCCTGGTACGCAGGAGGTCGTGGGTTCGATTCCAGACCCTACGAGATGTTAACAACCTCGCCTGGTACGCAGGAGGTCGTGGATTCGATCCCAGACCCTGTGAGATGTTAACTACCTCGCCTGGTACGCAGGAGGTAGTGGGTTCGATCCCAGACCTTGATGAGATGTTAACTACCTCGCCTGGTGTGCAGGAGGTCGTGGGTTCGATCTCAGACCCTACGAGATGTTAACTACCTCGCCTGGTGTGCAGGAGGTCGTGGGTTCGATCCCAGACCCTGTGAGATGTTAACTACCTCGCCTGGTACACAGGAGGTCGTAGATTCGATCCCAAACCCTGATTAGATGTTAACAACCTCGCCTGGTGTACAGGAGGTCGTAGATTCAATCCCAGACCCTGATGAGATGTTAGCTACCTCACCTGGTATACAGGAAATCGTAGATCCCAGACCCTGATGAGATGTTAACTACCTCGCCAGGTACACAGGAGGTCGTGGGTTCGATCTCAGACCCTACGAGATGTTAACCACCTCGCCTGGTGTGCAGGAGGTCGTGGGTTCGATCTCAGACCCTACGAGATGTAAACTACTTCGCCTGGTACACAGGAGGTCGTGGGTTCGATCCCAGACCCTGTGAGATGTTAACCACCTCGCCTGGTGTACAGGAGGTCGTAGATTCGATCCCAGAACCTGATGAGATGTTAACTACCTCGGCTGGTACACAGGCGTTCGTGGGTTCGATCCCAGACCCTACGAGATGTTAACTACCTCGCCTGGTACGCAGGAGGGCGTGGGTTCGATCCCAGACCCTGTGAGATGTTAACTACCTCGCCTGGTATACAGGAGGTCGTGGGTTCGATCTCAGACCCTACGAGATGTTAACTACCTCCCCTGGTATGCAGGAGGTCGTGGGTTCGATCCCAGACCCTGTGAGATGTTAACTACCTCGCCAGGTACACAGGAGGTCGTGGGTTCGATCCCAGACCCTACGAGATGTTAACTACCTTGCCTGGGACGCAGGAGGTCGTGGGTTCGATCCCAGACCCTGTGATATGTTAACTACCTCGCCTGGTATACAGGAGATCGTAGATTCGATCGCAGACCCTACGATATGTTAACTACCTCGCCTGGTACGCAGGAGGGCGTGGGTTCGATCCCAGACCCTACGAGATGTTAACTACCTCGCCTGGTACGCAGGAGGTCGTGGATTCGATCCCAGACCCTGTGAGATGTTAACTACCCCGCCTGGTACGCAGGAGGTCGTGGGTTCGATCCCAGACCCTGTGAGATGTTAACTACCTCGCCTGGTACACAGGAGGTCGTGGGTTCGATCTCAGACCCTGTGAGATGTTAACTACCTCGCCTGGTGTACAGGAGATCGTAGATTCGATCCCAGACCCTTTGAGATGTTAACTACCTCGCCTGGTACACAGGAGATCGTAGATTCCAGACCCTGATGAGATGTTAACTACCTCGCCTGGTACCCAGGAGGTCGTGGGTTCGATCCCAGACCCTACGAGATGTTAACTACCTCGCCTGGTACGCAGGAGGTCGTGAGTTCGATCCCAGATCCTGTGAGATGTTAGCTACCTCACCTGGTATACAGGAAATCGTAGATCCCAGACCCTACGAGATGTTAACTACCTCGCCTGGTACGCAGAAGGTCGTGGGTTCGATCCCAGACCCTGTGAGATGTTAGCTACCTCGCCCGGTATACAGGAAGTCAGCGGATTCGATTCAGACTCTGACGATGCCTGCTGCTGTATATTTGGAGTTTGCGGTGTCTCTCTCTCTCCCCGTGGTCGCGTGGATTTTTCTCCCAATCCTCCGGTTTTTTCGCCTCCACATTTAGAATCGCGCGCTCAGAGTATGTGGCTACTTTTCGATTTAAAGCTTTTGTGACGGCAGGGATTCATCTTCTTGGTTCTTTCGGTAAAGTCACGTAGAAGGGAAGTAATAAAATAATAAAAATAAAACATAATACAATAATTCTCACGACGTTTCGGCCACAACGCAAGCAGCCGTCCTCAGGTGAAGACCAGACGCTGTCTTCCCGACAGACCTGGTCTTCACCTGAGGACGGCTGCTTGCGTTGTGGCCGAAACGTCGTGAGAATTATTGTATTCTGTTTTATTTTTATTATTTTATTACTTCCCTTCTACGTGACTTTACCGAAAGAACCAAGAAGATATGCGGCCACTGCTATAAATATTCACTTGATGACGACAAGCCACTTCGTAGCGAGCCATCATCAAGTGATGGGCGGTTCGCTTCTCTGGAAAAAATGCTCCATAAGCTCAGTGGGGCCTTACCTGGTAAAAAATAATTAATATTTAATCAAACTTTTTTTAAAAACACGCTTTAATGAAATGTACCGCACTAGTAATGGCAGAACTCCACGACTCCAGAAAGTGGCCCCGAAGCTTGCCACAGCGTAAGGTGCCGTGGTGATTTTCAGCCAACGTGAGTTGAGCGTGGACAATTTAGACCCGAGCCGAAACATAATTTCTAAAAAATAGTGCTTAAAAATATAGATTTTTTTAAATTTTATGATGGAATATAGCATTGTCATCAGTATGACGTTCGTATACCAAGTTTGCAGTAGATACGACATTGGAAAGTAGCTTAAAATCGAGTTACAAGATTTGAGGACTACGACAACAGACAGAGTTGAGGATACAACAGACAGAGTGAGTTAAATAAAAGCGTGTAAAATAGAAGATAGTCAAATAGTTTATAGTTTCAATTTGTGGGCTCGCCTAGGGCACCCCCAGTGGCAGCTCGCCCTGTGAGGCACAAGGCGAGCGGGCACCTGGCCCGTCGCAACGCCGCACCCACAATACCCCACCCACAATGCCCCACCCACAATGCCCCCCCACAATGCCCCCCCCCACAATGCCCCACCCACAATGCCCCACCCACAATACCCCACCCACAATGCCCGCCCACGATACCCCGCCCACTATGCCCCACCCACGATGCCCCACCCACTATGCCCCACCTACAACACCCCACCCACAATGCCCCACCCACGTTGCCCCACCCACTATACCCCACCCACGATGCCCCACCCACAATGCCCCACCCACGTTGCCCCACCGTTCTTGCTGATGTCCAACTCCCGCAGGTTGCTGAGTCCGGCGATGGCAGGCGGGAGGGACGAGAGGTCGTTGTCCGGCACGCTCAGCTTGCGCAGGGCCTGGCAGCTGAACAGTTGCTGTGGGAAGTAGCGGCACCAGCAGCAGCAGCAGACAGACAGACAGACGTAGAGACAGACGTACAGACGTACAGACAGATGTACAGACAGACGTACAGATGTACAGACAGACGTACAGACAAACGTACAGACAGACGTACAGACGTACAGACAGACGTACAGACGTACAGACAGACGTACAGACAGACGTACAGACAGACGTACAGACAGACGTACAGACGTACAGACAGACGTACAGACAGATGTACAGACAGACGTACAGACAGACGTACAGACAGATGTACAGACAGACGTACAGACGTACAGACAGACGTACAGACGTACAGACAGACGTACAGACGTACAGACAGACGTACAGACAAACGTACAGACAGACGTACAGACAAGCGTACAGACAGACGTACAGACAGACGTACAGACAGACGTACAGACAGACAGACAGACGTACAGACAGACGTACAGACAGACGTACAGACAAGCGTACAGACAGACTTACAGACAGACGTACAGACAGACAGACAGACGTACAGACAGACGTACAGACATGCGGCGCGCGTCACTACAAGCCATCCACTCTCTCTCTCTGAGTCGTCCATTCTCTCTCTCTGAGTCGTCCACTCTCTCTCTCTGAGTCGTCCACTCTCTCTCGCTGAGTCGTCCACTCTCTCTGAGGCATCCACTCTCTCTCTGAGTCATCCTCTCTCTCTCTCTCTCTAAGTCGTCCACTCTATCTCTGAGTCGTCCACTCTCTCTTCGAGTCGTCCACTCTATCTCTGAGTCGTCCACTATCTCTTCGAGTCATCCACTCCCTCTCCCTGAGTCGCCCTCTCTCTCTCTGAGTCGTCCACTCTCTCTCTCTCTGAGTCGTCCTCTCTCTCTCTGAGTCGTCCACTCTCTCTGAGTCATCCACTCTCTCTCTCTGAGTCGTCCACTCTCTCTCTCTCTCTCTGAGTCGTCCTCTCTCTCTCTCTGAGTCGTCCTCTCTCTCTCTGAGTCGTCCACTCTCTCTCTCTCTGAGTCATCCTCTCTCTCTCTCTAAGTTGTCCACTCTATCTCTGAGTCGTCCACTATCTCTTCGAGTCATCCACTCCCTCTCTCTGAGTCGTTCACTCTCTCTCTCTCCGAGTCGTCCACTCTCTGAGTGAGCGTGCGAGTGTGCGAGTCAGGGAATGAGCGAGTGAGCGGAAAAAATGAGCGAGTGGGCGATCGAGCGAGCGAGTGAGAGGACGAGCGAGCGAGTGAGAGGTCGAACGAGCGAGTGAAGCGAGGCCGTAGCCATTGAGTCAACATTGGGGGGGACCAGATCTTTCAGTGGCTCTGGGGTCCCCGTCCCCCCAGAAAAAATCTAAATTTTAAAACTAATTTCCTGCCTAAAATATTAAAAAATTCACCAACACATGGGATGGACTTTTCATTTATTTTTAACAATAATGTCTAATAGTGTTTCGTATTACAATGCTCTGCTTTTACTTTTTTTTTTACCATTTCTTGCTTCATTGTATGTAATGTTTGAGATTAGGGATTGATAAAGTACAACCATGACCGCAATCATATCAACAGAAACCTATGCATTGCTTTATATGAAGACAAGTCCAGATATTGTGGCCAAGGTTTAGCAAATTGTTGTTTTTATTTACACAGCATAGCATTTTTTTTTAAATCTATTTATTAGCAATATATTGGAGGGACATTTTGAGCATATTTGAAAATTGGGGGAAGGGGGGGGATGTGTGTGTCCCAATATCTATTATAATTTCGGCCTTGAAGTGTTGTAAATGAGCGAGCGGGCAAATGAGTGAAGAAAATGAGCGACCGAGCAAATGAGGGAGTGAGCGGGGGGGGCGAGCCGGTGAGCGAGCGAGTGGGCGGGCGAGCAAGCGAGCGAGCGAGCGAGCGAGCGTGCCAATGAGTGAAGAAAATGAGCGAGCGGGCAAATGGGCGAGGCGAGCGGGCGGGCGGGCGAGCCGGTGAGCGAGCGATCGAGCGGGTGGGCGAGCAAGCGAGCGAGCGTGCCAATGAGTGAAGAAAATGAGCGAGCGGGCAAATGAGTGAGCGAGCGGGGGGGCGAGCGGACGAGCAAGCGAGCGAGCGTGCCAATGAGTGCAAAAAACGAACGGGCGCACGAGCGAGCGAGCGAGCGAAGTCAACGAGCGAGCGTGCGGGTGAGCGTGCGGGCGAGCGTGCGTGAGAGCGAGCGAGCGAAGTCAACGAGCGTGTGGGTGAGCTTGCGTGCGAGCGGGCGAGCCACCGACCCGGGGCAGCTCCTCGATCTGGTTGGCGTCCAGGTAGAGCTCCAGGAGGCTGCGCTCGCACGAGAAGACGTCGCGTGGCACCGCGTCGAGGCTGCAGTGCGAGAAGTCGAGCACCGAAGCCGCCCCCCCCTCCTCGTGCTGCGCCCGCAGGCAGCGGCACGACAGCAGCCCGCCCAGCAGCCGCCGCTTGCTGCCCATTGCCTGCAACGTCATCGTCGACGTCATCAGCATCTCTGTCGTCATGTCTGTCGTCATCATCTCTGTCGTCATCATCATCAATATCTCCATCATCTCCCGCCCAGCATCCGAAGCTTGCTGCCCATTGCCTGCAACGTCATCGTCGACGTCATCAGCATCTCTGTCGTCATGTCTGTCGTCAGCATCTCTGTCGTCATCATCATCAATATCTCCATCATCTCCCGCCCAGCATCCGAAGCTTGCTGCCCATTGCCTGCAACGTCATCGTCGTCATCATCATCTCTGTCGTCATCTCTGTCGTCATCATCTCTGTCGTCATCAGCATCATCAACATCATCATCTCCATCATTTCCCGCCCAGCAGCCGCCGCTTGCTGCCCATTGCCTGCAACGTCATCGTCGACGTCATCATCGTCGTCATCTCTGTCGTCATCATCATCTCTGTCGTCATCATCTCTGTCGTCATCATCATCTCTGTCGTCATCATCTCTGTCATTATCATCATCTCTGTCGTCATCATCAACATCATCAACATCTCCATCATCTCCCGCCCAGCATCCGAAGCTTCCTGCCCATTGCCTGCAACGTCATCGTCGTCGTCATCATCTCTGTCGTCATCTCCATCATCATCAACATCAACATCATCATCTCCATCATCATGTCTGCAACGTCATCGTCAACGTGATCGTCGTCGTCATCATCATCTCTGTCGTCATCATCTCCGTCATCATCATCATCAACATCATCATGTCTGCAAGGTCAATATCATCATCATCTCCACCATCATCTCCATCAACATCATGTCTCCAACATCAACATCATCCTCATCATCTCCATCATTATGTCTGCAACATCATCAGATCCATTATCATGTCTGCAACGTCAATATCATCATCACCATCATCTCCATCATCATCAAAATCGTGTCTCCAACATCAATAGCGTCATCATCAGATTCATCATCATGTCTGCAACATCATCATCTCCATCATCATGTCTGTAATGTCAATATCATCATCTCCACCATCATCTCCACCATCATCTCCATCATCATGTCTGCAACGTCATCGTCAACATGATCGTCATCATCTCTGTCATCATCATCTCCGTCATCATCATCTCCATCATTATGTCTGCAGGGTCAATATCATCATCATCATCTCCACCATCATTTCCATCATCATCAACATCATGTCTCCAACATCAACAGCATCATCATCTCCATCATCATGTCTGCAACATCATCATCTCCATCATTATGTCTGCAACGTCAATATCGTAGTCGTCATCTCGAACATCATCTATCTCCATCATCATCATCATCTCTACCATCATCTCCATCATCATCATTTCCATCATTATTATCATGTCTGCAACGTCAACATCATCATCTCCAACATCATCATCATCAAATACACCGGATACCCATTGTCTGCAACATCATCATCATCTCCATCATAGTCTGCAACATCATCATCATCAGACACACTAGATACCCATTGCCTGCATCATCATCATCATCAATTGAGCATCATCACCAATATCATCAGCTGAGGATTAGAATTATCATCATCACCAACATCATCATCAGTTAAGGATCAGCATTATCATCATCACCAACATTATCAGTTAAGGATCAGCATTATCATCATCACCACCACCAACATCATCATCATCATCACCTTCATCAAACACAACTATTAATCGGGTCATCGAATTCTCACCATCGTCACCAAAAAAATACGTTCAAGATTGGCAATGGCATCGTTATCACCACCACCATCAGCGTTAGTATTAATAGTAATAACATCACCACACACACACAAAGAGACGTATACACACGCGCACGCACATACAGCATGAACCACACACACACACACGTGTACGTATATTGATACACAAAGGTACAGAGACAAAGATCCCCCGGGTAGCCTCAGCAGACTGTAGGAGCAAGTGCTGCTACACACAGAGCATAAACCACACACACACACACGAATGTTTAGATTAATATACACACAAAAGTACAGAGATAAAGATCCCCCGGATAACCCCAACAGACTGCTGGGGCAAGTGCTGTTAGTGAGTAGCAACACGAGGGGGTGGGTGGCCAGCCCCACCTCGCCCGGCCGCCTTTGTCTCCCCAGTGGCGATGTTTTATACACACCGCACTAAGTACTCATTTGAGGCAGAGTCGACCTAGGGGAGGCCCAGGACCGGTGCGGATATTCGTACACATACACACGTACACACATGCACGTATCCACACGCACACACGTACACACACTATCGTACACGAACGTACACACACGTATACCTACACACACGCACGTACACACACGCACATACACACACGCACATACACATACTTACACACACGAACGAATACACACGTACACAAATGAACGTACACAGACGTACACACACACGTACACATACACACACACGTACACACAAGAACGTACACACACGTACGCACACACGTACACACACGCACACACACACGTACGCACATACACACACGCACGCACAAACACGCACACACACGAACGTACGCACACACGTACGCACATACGTACGCACACACGCACGCACACACACGTACGCACACACACGTACGCACACACACGCACGCACACGCACGCACACACATGTACGCACACACACACGCACACACACACGCACACACACGTACGCACACACACGTACGCACACACACGCACGCACACACATGTACGCACACACACACACGCACACATACGTACGCACACACACGTACGTACACACACGCACGCACACACACGCACACACACACACGCACACACACGCACACACACACACGCACACACACGTACGCACACGCACGCACACACATGTACGCACACACACACACGTACGCACACACACGCACGCACACACATGTACGCACGCACGCACACGCACGCACGCACACGCACGCACGCACACACACGCACGCACACACGCACGCACACACATGTACGCACACACACACGTACGCACACACACACACGCACGCACACACACGCACGCACACACACGCACGCATGCACACGCACGCACACACACACGCACACACACGTACGCACACACGCACACACACACGTACACACAACACACACGTACACACACACACGTACACACACACACACACGTACACACACACACACGCACACACACACACACGTACACACACACACGTACACACACACACGCACACACACACACGTACACACACACACACGCACACACACGCACACACACACACGCACACACACACACGTACACGCACACACACACGCACGTATGCCCGATGCTATAAATAGCCAAGCACAGCGCTCTGTGCTCGGCACGTGAGCATAATGCAAAGTGTGTACCGGGCGAGTGTGTGTGTCTGTACGTGTGTGTGTCTGTACGTGTGTCTGTACGTGTGTGTGTGTCTGTACGTGTGTGTGTGTCTGTACGTGTCTGTACGTGTGTGTGTGTGTATGTACGTGTGTGTGTGTGTGTACGTGTGTGTGTGTCTGTACGTGTGTGTGTCTGTACGTGTGTGTCTGTACGTGTGTGTCTGTACGTGTGTGTCTGTACGTGTGTGTGTCTGTACGTGTGTGTGTGTCTGTACGTGTGTGTGCCTGTACGTGTGTGTCTGTACGTGTGTGTCTGTACGTGTGTGTGTGTGTCTGTACGTGTGTGTGTGCCTGTACGTGTGTGTGTCTGTACGTGTGTGTGTACGTGTATGTGTGTCTGTAAGTGTGTGTGTGTACGTGTGTACGTGGGAGTGTGTCTGTACGTGTGTGTGTGTGTCTGTACGTGTGTGTCTGTTCGCATGTGTCTGTCCGTGTGTGTATCTGTACGTGTGTGTGTGTCCGTGTGTGTGTCTGTACGTGTGTGTGTCTGTATGTGTGTATGTACGTGTGTGTGTCTGTACGTGTGTGTGTCTGTATGTGTGTGTGTCTGCACGTGTGTGTCTGTACGTGTGTGTGTCTGTACGTGTCTGTACGTGTGTGTGTGTGTGTCTGTACGTGTGTGTGTCTGTACGTGTGTGTGTGTCTGTACGTGTGTGTGCCTGTACGTGTGTGTCTGTACGTGTGTGTGACTGTACGTGTGTGTGCCTGTACGTGTGTGTGTCTGTACGTGTGTGTGTGTCTGTACGTATGTGTGTGTCTGTACGTGTGTGTGTCTGTACGTGTGTGTGTCTGTACGTGTGTGTGTCTGTACGTGTGTGTGTGTCTGTGCGTGTGTGTGTCTGTACGTGTGTGTGTCTGTACGTGCGTGTGTGTCTGTGCGTGTGTGTGTCTGTATGTGTGTGTGTCTGTACGTGTGTGTGTATGTACGTGTGTGTGTGTACGTGTGTGTGTGTCTGTACGTGTGTGTGTCTGTACGTGTGTGTCTGTACGTGTGTGTATGTACGTGTGTGTCTGTACGTGTGTGTGTGTCTGTACGTGTGTGTGTCTGTCCGTGTGTGTCTGTACGTGTGTGTGTGTCTGTACGTGTGTGTGTGTCTGTACGTGTGTGTGTGTCGGTTCTTCGTGCTTTCGGAGTCCCTGACCCGCTGCTCACGATCATTAAGGACCTTCATGATGGCGAGCGGACCCGGGTAAAACCACGTGTGCGGGAGTCGGAGACATTCCCTGTACACCTTGGGGTGCGACAGGGATGTCCTCTGGCTCCCACATTATTTAACATCTATTTCGACCACGTCGTACGTGAAGCCTTCAATAGCTGTACCGGAGGAATTTCCATCTGGTACAGATACAATGGGAGGCTGATCGATGCCCGAGTGCGGTCAAGGGATGGCTCCCTATTGCTCCATCGTGTTATGTGTGCCGATGATCTGGTAATTGCTGCTCACTCATAGAAGGAATTGGAGGCGCTGCTGCTGAACCTGGAGCTTGCCACTAAGAGGTGGGGACTTACCATCAGCCCCACCAAAACTAAGCACCTGCCTGGGTATTTTGTACCATCGGACACTCCACCCCCACAACT